AGTGTTCGCTATACATATTTCCCTGCCTTTAGTTGTTAGTTAATCGTATTTATTTGAAGGTAAATCACGGTCAACAGTATGAATAGATCGGCTAACATACCATGATTGTAGATGTAACTTACTTAAATATGAAAATAATTCAAATAATTCTTGCTTTTAAGATTTTAATGTATTATAAGTTGACGCATAACATCACATCATCAGCCACTATATTATCATCAAGTTTTTCTATTACATCCCAAAATGAATAAACTAATTCATCAGTAGTTGGGGGATCATCACTCCAACATCAAAAAATAAGTATCATGTGCTTGGCCAGCAAATAGTAGAAATTGCACCAAAACTATAAATATCACCCTCCCTTGTAAATTTAACACCTCAGGTAAAATATATGGAATTGACCCAGAAATTATTAGGGCTTAAATTAATTCATTTTTTAATTTACATAAAAGCAATCCTATTCTTAATAAAATGTAGAATCACTACGCTCTTTCAAAATATTAAAATATTTCCATTATAAAGGTCAAAATAACTAAATTTTGTGCATGTAGGTTTTCAAGGCAGCATGCATTGTAATAACATTGATTTGTACCCTAAATCCCAAAAAATTTGGTTAAAAAATTATATAGTTATTATTGAATAAATCCATAGTTTGTATAGAAGGATCTTTTGAAATCCATAATATACAGCAGCACTATATTCATAATCAATCAACGTACTTGATATCAAATATAATAAAATGAAAATTAATAATTCCAAAATATTGGAACATGCAAATTAAATATAAAGAAACCACTTCCAAAAATTTAGCTATATAATAACTAGAATCTTTTATTCTTTCAAAGCAATTTTGCTGCTATTAAAGCATATTCTCAAATCCTGGTTAATAAAATTCCATTTCCAGTTTCTAACTCGATAGAATACACAGAACTGAACTTACGGCCATCATCTACTTTGTGTTTGATATTTTGAAAATTATCCTAAGGTATCCAATGTATTTGAGATTCTTGGATAATCTTATAAATGTTAGCATTTCCACAAGACCAAGTTTTAAATTCTTGGATATGGATATAATGCTCTTTAGTACAAGTACACAAATAACATATTCTATTTTCTGAACGAATGAAATTCCGTTGACCAGAACAGAAACCCAGAAGAATAACCTGCCGGGCAGTGCTTAACTCTATCTATTTCTTTGAGGCCTGAAATAAAAGGAATATTCGATTTTTTATTCCAAGCTAAATATTTGAGGTTAATCATTTCCTTTTCAGATTATAATTGTTCCATGTGATAATTTGTCATTGTTTTATAGAATAATAAAAGAAATTGTATTTCGTTGACATTTAAGCATAATTCAGAACAAGTCATTTTTATATAAGCTTTATTTGACGCGTGCTAGATTTGGTTCTAAATAATACGAGCTCTCGAAATATTTTTAAAAAATAAATAAATTAATAAATTATCTTAATATATTTTTGTATGGGAATTCATTTATTATTAAAGAAATTAACACTGATGAGAAAAATTAAAAAAAAAATAAACTAAATAATCAAATAAGATAATATTAATATTAGATTTGAATTTTCAGAATTTTCATTTCTTTTATTTTTTAACTTTCTCTTGACAAAATTACCCTTTCTTTCCCATGTTTTAATTCCATTTTTCTGCTTGCCTCGAATTTCTGTCTCCCCGTAATATTATGAATATTGACACTTGAAGTAATTGAATTCATTGGTCTTTGATAATAAATTATGATTTATGAATTCAAAACTTTTTAAATTTTTAAATTTTATAATTAATTATTTATAAAACAAAATTAGAAAATTGTTATAAAAATATTACCTGCTGACCAGATTTAAGATCTTTCAATAAATCGGCTAATATAACTTGATTGTGGATGAAACTTGAAGATGTAGATAATTCAAATAATTCTTGTTTTCTAAGATTTGAATTCTTTTTATTTATTTTCAATAGAAATTCAAGCTGCTACACTATATTATCCGATATTTCACAAAAAAATAGTTAAGGAAGCAGTAATTGGACTTTTGGAAGGATCATTACCTCAGCATGGATAAAATACCATTTTGGCCACACATCAATCACAAAATAAGTATAATGTGCTTGGTTTGGTGTGCATGTGCAGTAACTATTTCATACATAATTCCACCTAACTATAAATATCATCCACCCTTGTAAATTCGTCCAAAACTCGTTAAACATTTAAACATAAATCCTCAGAAGAATGACCTATCGGACCGGAAAATACTTCATTTTACTATTTCTGGGATATCATTGATATGTAATTAGACAGACACATGATTTTTATTTATTAATTAATTTGATAAATATTTAATGGACCGTATTTTATTGGATAGGTATCGGTTGTTGGGTCTTTGGATTCTAATAAAGAATTGTATTGTGATACTTATGATAGGCATATAAATATTGGATTAATTGAAAGATTGTTTAATTTTTTATTTATCAAATTTATTTAAAATCTATTAACGGTACCATACTACGACTACTTGCTCTTTTCAAATTTATGATTCATAAATGCTTTTATTTTAAATAAAAGTTTTGTTGGATCAATAATTTCTTTTACATATTTTGTAGTTTGCAATATTGAAGTTTGAAATTTTAAATAACTATGAACAGATGATAATTAATTTTGCTGACATTTTTTTAAACGAAAAATCAGAATCATTACAAGTTTAATAACAGTTTTATGAAAACGCGTTTAATTTTTGAATTTATTTTCAATTTTTCTTTAACTTAATTTCAATAAAATTAATTTCCGCCACGCCAATTTATGTGCATCATCATTTCTTTGTTCTTCATACTATAGGTTCAAATCCGCGATATTAACCGAATAGAATTAGAAAACCTTATTCGTCATTGATCACAATATGATATTTTTCGGGCGGATCGGATTAATAAAGATATTTACGTAAAGAAATAAATATTATCAGAAAAATGAATTTAATTTCTATTATAAATTCGGAATAAATATTTAAAAAATATCCAACAACGAAATGTTCTTTTTATTTCCCATGTCTCAAAAAATAAAAAAAAAATAATGTATTATCCATCTGAGGATTTTGCCGATTCTAATTTCAAAAATTTCATTCGTTCGGATGGAATATGCTCTTTGTGTACTAAAGAACATTTTATCCAAGAATTTAAAACTTGGTCTAGTGGGAATGCTAATATTGATATGATTATACAAGAAACTCAAATAAATGTCATTAATGAAAAGTTACATTGATTACCTTATGATGATTTTCAAAATATCAAACACATAGTAGATGGCGGCCGTGGATATGTATATTCTGCCGAGTTAGAAAATGGAATAAAATTGGCATGGAATTTCATCAAACAGGGCTGGAAATATGATTTCATAGGCTGAAAAGTTGCTTCAAAAGAAATAAAAGATTCTAGATATGATATAGCTGAAATTTATGGATCAATTCCATGTATTCCGCCTGAAGTGTTAATAGGAAATTAATTTACGAAGGAGGGTGATTTTATAGTTTTGGCGGAATTATGTATGAAATAGTTACTGCACAACGACCATTTGCTGATCAAGCACATGATACTTATTTAATGATTGATATATGTAACGATGTAAGACCAAAGGTCCCTGATTTTATGTTAAATCGGATTCCTGAATGGTATTTAAACTTGATGAATCGATGCTGGAGTGATGATCCCTCTCAACGTCCAACTGCTACTGAATTATCTAATTTATTTCATGATATATCACATTATGAAGTGGATAATGTTGTTATGCGTAAATTTCAAATTGCTGATGAAAATCAAGAAAATCTCAAAAGCAAGAATTATTTGAATTATTTTTGTTTTCAAGTAACCTACATCCTCAATCATGTCATGTTGACCGATATATTCATACTCTTCATAGATTGCATGATTTGATGGAAGAAATAATATCTGGGAATCTTCAGGTAGATGAATTAGACTAGGGTTTAAAATGATTAACTACAAAACTTAAATTTTTATGATTGGTATATTTTCCGTTCCTTTGTGAACAATGTTACCCGTACGACTGTATCTGTTTTCAAGATGCTTCCCCTGTTACGTCTGTTTGCTGTTGCCAGTTTCTTAATTTCTTACTATCTCTTGGAAGTTTACTAGGGCGTTTAGTTATTATTCTATTTTCATTCTTCCACTTTATATTGAAGGTTGTCATTATTTCCGCTTCTGTCTTTCTCATATTAATCCATATTTGATGACTTTGCGATTCTTTTGCATGATTTCCGAATGCATATTCTAGCCATGACATATATCCCCATAATTCGTGCTTAAAAGGAAAAATAAACGAATGAAGAAATTCGTCGGATTTACTAAAATGGTTAATAAATAAAGAGAAAAAAATAAATATAACAAAGAAAAACTTCTATCCGAAGGAGGACTAGTAAGAGAAGAATCAAGACTATGAAGAAAAAAGTTACGAAGAAGAATAGTTGAAAAAGAAAATTTAAAATTTGGAGGAAAAGGTTTCGGAATAATCTTTTTAGTGGTAATAAAGCAAATCCAGAGGATACCGAAAGAAAAAGAAAAAAGAAATGACTTATAAAGAAAAGAAAATTACACAAAAAATGGACGTCAAAACCAGAAATAACGAGTAAATATTGGCGTCATCACAGATAAACACAGAAAAAGGATGTTAAAACCAGAATAGTCATATATGAACTAAGAAAATTATAACACGAAAAAACGCGAAATAAGAGAAAAATTCTTATAAAAAGGACAGAAATTGACGAAGAAACAGAAAAATAAATGATAACAAAAGAAGATATCCAACGACAAGAAAGAATAGGAAGTACATACGGACAAAAGATAATCAACATCACGAAAACGTGAAAAATATAAATACCCTAATAAAACCTATCATCGAAAAGAATTATACTCACCGAAAACAAATTATCAGATAACCGAGCAAAAAAGAAAAAGGAGTGAAAAACCAGAGATAATTGAAATACCCGAGGAACCAGAAAAGAAAGACAAAAGTCTGAAGAAGTAAAATCCGAATCGGAATCAGTAAAACAGTCAGAACAACGAAGATATATAACACCAGGTAACTTTTACACATTCAAACAGTTACTAAAAGAAACAACATTACCAGAAATAAAAGGAACAGGACGAAACAGTCTATTAACCTCGGCATTACGAATAAAAGAGAATCTTGAAGCGGAACGACATAATATTGAAAACATTCCGGAAACTGACAATAGTAATTTAATAAAAGAATTATTAAAAATCGTAACCGACACATATTAAAAAATAACACGACAAGAATTAGAATGGCTAACCATAATGAAAACAACGACGGAGATTCTTCTGGAGGACGAATTAGGCAGCCTTACGTAGAAACAAGATTACCGAATTAAATAGATATCGAAAGAAGAAATCGATGGGATTATTCTGCGAAAAGGAATGGTATGAAACAAAAAAAAGAACAGTTTAGAACATATTATAACGGGTTAATGAGAAAACCAAAAAATATTTTGCAACAATATCTTTGTTGTAAATGTGGAAGAATGATTACCAGAGAAGAACTGGGGTGGGACTACACCGAGAACGGACCACGGATGCCAAAACGGAAACGCTAGTACTTGGTATACCGATAATCGTACAAAGATCGAATTAATGCTTCATAATGGGTCAGCATTAGCGAATCGAACAAGAAAGTGCGGGTATCGGAAAATGGGGGCAACCGCAAGGCAACCATTGTTGTCTTTGTAAAGAATATAAAAAGAAGAAAAACTAACATACCGAAGCACTGGGCACGACGCGTGTGGATCATGCCACAATGAAATGGAAGAAATCCATTGGAAAAATGGAAAAGGATCCAAAATGTGGATATATGAAAACATACTTACCTGTATTATTTGTAAAGAAGAATTTTGAAAAACACATAGAATTGCATGGTATGGGACAGGAATATACTGCAGTATCGAAGGTCAGCTGATTTCAAAGCAGAAAATGAAAGAGAAAACCTTGAAACCGCCTGTGGACTAATTATCCGATATACTTGTGGCGGAGGAAAAAGATTTAGAGGAACAGGGGAACGGCGAATTAACGTATCCGCTACAGAACGGTCTTAGAATTATACTGGGATTAAAAAAGAAACCGAAATCAAAAAACCAAAGAACAATACTCGAAGCAAAAAAAGAAGAAACTTGGGATATGATTAAACATCACTGGACAGGAGACCAAGTACGATTACTTTTAAGAATACTAGGAACCGAAGAAAATCGACTAGACAAAGACGACCAACAAGAACTAAAACAGGCAATAAGAAACTCGATAAATAATTGGGACGGATTTGACTTACGGGTATCAAAAAAAACTCTGCTACGAAAGGTTAAAAAAACAGAATATTGGATTATGTGAAGAATGTTTAATACCAGTAACAGAAGGAACAAGAATTTGCGAACAATATCAAGAAAAAAATAGAAGGAAAAGGGAAACAACCAATGTATCCAAGAAAATCGGAATCATCGAACGAACCAGAACCACCTTATCAAAATAAGGAACAACAGAAAAATATGGAAATGACACTTTTAAAAGGATGGATAACTCAAATATCCGGAATAAAAGAACCAGAAGGAACCGTAAAAGAAGCATTAGACGCATTTGAATATTTACAATAGGTCGAACTGGCACACCGAAAAAGAATTATGGAAATACCAAAAGAATTCGGAATGATAAAGAATTCAACCGTAAAAGAAGTAACAAAAGAATATTTGACATTAACACTGGAAGAAGAAATGGAATATGAAAATAAAGAAGAAAAAAGAAAAATAATAACCATTACTCTAACGGTAGAAATAATGAAATTACGAAAAGAAGGAATACCATTCGGAGACGAAGAAAAACAACAAAAAGAGGAAATAGAAAAAGCGCAACAACAATATGAAGAACTTGAAAAATTGGTACCAAAAAGGACAGAAAAAAATACAATATTAAAAATGATAGAAGAAATAAAAGAATTAAGAATTGAAAAAAGAAAATACCAGGGTATAGAAGTAGATAATAAAAGAAAAATATGAAAAAATTACCACAACGAGAATTGAACCCGAAAAGGAGAATTCATCGACAAAATTTCCACAACAAGGAATAGTGGGAAAAATATAAAAAAGAGTAAAACAATTCCTTTATGCAATAGCGATAAACTCAGAGATTTATAATGAAAATACCAGAAATAATAATAAAAATAAGAGGACACGAAGTAACGGCAATAATAGATACCGGAGCAATTAATACTTTTTTTTCAGAAAATTAGTAAAGAAAATAGGGCTACCAATATTACTAGAAACGATTCCGTAAAAATAGAAGTGGAAAAACAATTAAAAATAATAGGAAAACAACTATTGCCTGAATAATAAATAATGAAGAATAGGAAGAAGAAGTATACGTGAGAGAAGAAAAAATGACAAATCACTATGTAATAGAATGGAATTAATACGAAAAGAAGAATGGGTTATATCAATTAATGATATGACAATACAAAGAAAAAATAACAAATAGAAATGAACACTATAGGACCAATACGGGAAATAGGGATAACAAGAAATTTGGACGAACCATTGGAACTATGACAAAATATTGAGCAAATATTCATAAGAAATCGAAAAGAACAAGAAATAAATGACGAGATACACCAGTGGAAGCCGACAAAAAAGTTTTATGTACACAGTATGCCTTAACAAGAATACTGGATAATGAAGGAGAAATAACTAAACGTGTCAGGGAAGAGCTACGACTCCCAGAAGAAAAAGGAACCGAAGGAGTCGTGATACATATGGGACAACGAAAAACAAAGAAAGGAAAAGTAACGATAGAAAAAAAACTTGTCGAAAATATCGGCTTTTACGGAAGGCAACAACAATACCGATATACCTGGAAAACTCGTCAAGAGAAGGAGACTTCGGAGCAACAATTGAAGAATTAAAAAAATACTGTAAACATCATAATATGTTTATATGTATAGACACGATGCACTGGTACGCAGCATGAATTACAAAAGAAAATAGAAGAAAAAAAATCGTGAAGCTAATACATTTGAATGGGATACCGGAAAAAGTTCAGCTAGGAGACGAAATAGATGAACATGAAAACCTACGAAAAAGTAAATACTCAGAAATATTAAAAAAACTTATTAAAGAAATAAAACTACCAATAATATTGGGAACACCAAAAGAGTTACTTCAAGAAGACTTTGAAATATTAAAAGGACAAAACGAATTGAACGTACTAAAAAGTTTAAAACGACTAATATCGGATGAAGAAGAAGAAAACCTACGAATCCGTCAGAGGAAGACCAAGAATATGATGAAACGAACGTATAGAAAAAGCAACCGAAGAGTTAAAAAGAATTGAACAAAAAATAGAAGAGAAATGGGAGGAGTAAATCGATTAAAAGATAGAAAGGCCGTACTAGAAGAATAATTAAGGGATAACGAACCATGGCACCGATTAGCGGCACAATGGATAAGAGAAACATACGGGTTAAAAGAAATAAAAAAGAACTCGCAAGTAACACCATTAATGGATCAGAACCAAATTATTTAAAAGAAGGGCAGGGAACCAAAACCTCCAGAAAATTTAATCATATGGTTTGGACCAAAAGGAGTCAGTAAAGTGGAAGAAAAACGGAAAGAAGAATTCATTGACCAAAGTGAATGGGAAATATTATACGGGAAGATCGAGTAAGACACTTCGTTTTCATAGAATACGATAAAGAAACGGTTACCGAAATATACTTAACATACCGAGAAAAAGATCAAGGGCTGGAAAAGATAGAAAATCCGAAACCGCTAAAGAACAAGTATTGGAATATTTAATGCTTCAAATAAACGTTATAAAGATTACTTGTTATAATTTTTTTACTGCTCTATTACTCTAAATTACTCTTAAATGTTATCGAAGTACAATTTCTTCTATCATTCTATCTTATATGAATGAATGTTTCTTTCATAACATAACAGTATTTCATGTGAATCACAAATATTTTAATTATTTTTACATAGCTTTTGTTATTGCTATCATTTTTTTTAATTAGGTGTCTGATCAATAATACATTTAAAGAAACAATGAATATTTGTGTTAAAATAAGGAAAAATTTAGGAACGGGGTGTTTTTTGGAAGTGCCTTATGTTCTACTATTATTTTTATTTTTATTTGGCGCATGAAGAAAATAAACAAATAATGTATATACTTTATTAATTATAACTCATTTACACAGAAATTCATAACTTCTCTCTATAACAACTTATTCCTTGTAACAATTTGTTTATAGTAAACTTGGAATGACAATCATCATAAGATAATAAAAGCGAAGATATAAAAAATCTGCGCTGTTCTACCCCGCAAAGAACTTTGTTACATATATTATTTTTACGTTCACGTCTTGTATGCTGATTTGTGATTATTGTCTAATTTGGATGATCTTTAATTTTTTTTCCTCCTGAACTGTACTGCATCCAGAAATTTTTTTAGGCGTAAATCTACGTTATGTGCGTAGATTTACGCCGATTTACGGCTAAAAAAATTCCTGATGTGAGATATTTTTAATATTTTCTCTAGAAGGTATGGGATCACGTTTCAGACGGATCAGATTACACAAACAAATAAATAAGATCAGAAAAGGTAATGATTACCATTATTCTATTTATAAATTCTGAAAAAAAATATTTAAAGCAAATATTCCTTTTATTCCCATGTCTCAAAAAACAGGAAAAAAAATAAAGTATTGCCCAGCTGGTCATTCTTCCAGGGAAATCGTTTATTCTGATTGTCATAATTTCATTTATTCAAGTGGAAGATGTGATTTATGTACTAGAGAACATTTTATCCAAGAGTTTAAAACTTGGTCTAGTGGGAATTCTAACATTGATAAGATTATACAAGAATCCCAAATAAATAACATTTACTATAAGTTACAATGGATACCTTATGATAATTTTCAGAATATCGAATACATAGCAGATGGTGGCCATTGTTATGTGTATTCTGCCATATTAAAAAATGGTGGCATAAAAGAGAATTGGAATTTTATCAAACAGGATTGGAAATATCATTCAATAGACCGTGAAATTGCTTTGAAAGAAATATTAGATTCTAGATTTGATATAGCTGAATTTCTCAAAGTGGTATGTTCTTTTATATCTTTTATATCTTTTATATCTTTTATATCTTGAATATAAATTATTATTAATTATTAATAATATTATTTCGTAAATTATTAATTTATCTTTTAATATTTTTTCATATTAAGATAAATATTGTTAATAATTATGAATTTATCGCTAAATATTATGGAATTTCAAAACATCCTTCAACACAAAACTATATTATTGTTATGGAATTATTTGATGATGATTTAAATGATTTTTTAACCAAAACATTTTTGGATTTAGAGTGGATATCAAAAATAGACATTTTATCGTCAATAGCGGAGGGTCTTGTTACCATACACCAAGAAAATTTAGTTCACTGTGACCTTCATAGTGGAAATATTTTAAAATTCACCCAATATAGTACCGCGTATATAGATTTAGATTTATGTAAATTAGAAAATGATTTTATTTTAAATGCAAATGACAAAAATAACAAAATTTGCGGATCAATTCCATATATTCCACCTGAGGTATTAAGAGGAAATGAATTTGCAATGGAGGGTGATATTTATAGTTTTGGTGGAATCATGTATGAAATTGTTACAGCACAACGACCATTTGCTGATCAAGCACATGATACTTATTTGATGATTGATATATGTAATGGTGTAAGACCAAAGGTCCCTGATTTTATGTTAAATTGGAT